CTCTCTCTCTCTCTCTCTCTCTCTCTTTCCTTGTTGTTATTATTGTTTGGCAGGCCCAGGTTGGGCTCAAACCCACCAGCTCCAATGTATGTGGCTGGCACCCTAGCCACTGAGCTACAGGCACTGAGCCTCAGCTGTTTTTTCTTTCTTTCTTTCTTTTTTTTTTTTTGCAGTTTTTGGCCAGAGGCTGGGTTTGAACCTGCCACCTCTGGTGTATGGGGCTGGCGCCCTACTCCTTTGAGTCACAGGCACTGCCCTCTTTCTTTCTCTTTATTTTTTATAGAAATGAAGTCTTGCTATGTTGCCCAACTGATAATAAACTTCTGGACTCAAGCAATTCCCCTATCTTGGCTTCCTGAAGTGCTAGGATTATAGGTGTAAGCCATGGCACCTGCCTTCCTTTCACATTTAAATATATAATCCTGTGCTTCCTTCAGCAGCACATATACTAAAATTGGAATGATGCAGAGAAGATTAGCATGGCCCCTGAGCAAGGATGACATGCAAATTCATAAATATATAATCCTCCTAGAACAGATTCTTCTTTTATTTTTTTGAGGATCTTACTATGTCGCCCTCAGTAGAGTGTCATGGCGTCACAACTCACAGCAACCTCAAACTCTTGGGCTCAAGTGATTCCCTTGCCTCAGCCTCCCAAGTGGCTAGGACTATAGGCGCCTGCCGCAACTCCTGGCTATTTTTAGAAACAGGGTTTGGCTCTTGCTCAGACTGGTCTCAAACTTGTGAGCTCAGCAGCCCACCTACCTTGGCCTCTCAGGGTGCTAAGATTACAGGCGTGAGCCACCTCATCGGGCTCCTTTCTATTTCTTACTTGTAAAAATTTCAAAAACACAGAAATGTTGAAATAATAGTATTGTGGACACCCTATGCCTTCCACCAAGCTTCAATGTTTTAAATATTTCACTACTTTACCCTCTTCTCTCTATGTATGTGTATATGTGCCTATTTGTATTTTTTTTTTTTTGAGACAGAGCCTCAAGCTCTCCCCCTGGGTAGAGTGCCGTGGCATTTCAGCTCACAGCAACCTCCAACTCCTGGGCTCAAGCAAGTCTCTTGCCTCCACCTCCCAAGTAGCTGGGACCACAGGCGCCCGCCACAACGCCCGGCTATTTTTTGGTTGCAGCCGTCATTGTTGTTTGGCGGGTCTGGGCTGGGGATTCGAACCCGCCACCTTAGGTGTACGTGGCTGGCGCCTTAGCCAGTTGAGCTATAGGCGCGGAGCCCCTATTTGTATTTTTTGTTGAAACTTTTGAAAGTAGACTGCAAACATCATGTTGCTTCACCTCTAAATATATTAATATGGGCCAGGTGCAGTGGATCATGCCTGTAATCCTAGCACTTGCTAGGCCAAGGCTGGCGGATAGCCTGAGCAACAGCGAGACCTCATTTTTATTTTATTATTTATTTATTTATTTATTTATTTGCAGTTTTTGGCCAAGGCTGGGTTTGAACCCGCCACCTCCAGCATATGAGGCCAGTGCCCTACTCCTTTGAGCCACAGGCACCACCCTTTTTTTAAAATTTATTTTTATTTTTTTATTTTTTGAGACAGAGCCTCAAGCTATTGCCCTGGATAGAGTGCCGTAGCATCACTGTTCACAACAACCTCCAGCTCCTGGGTTCAAGAAGTTCTCCTGCCTTCATCTCCCAAGTAGCTGGGATTATAGGCACTGGCCACAACGCCCAGCTATTTTTTGATTGCAGCCATCACTGTTGTTTGGTGGGCCCAGGCTGGATCCGAACCCGCCAGCTCAGGTGTATGTGGCTGGCGCCTTGGCTGCTTGAGCCACAGGTGCCGAGCCATTATTTTTTATTTTTTTTGAGACACAGTCTTACTATGCTACCTTCAGTAGAGTGCTGTAGTGTCACAGCTCACAGCAACTTCAAACTCTTGGGCTGAAGCGATTCTCTTGCCTCAGCCTCCCAGGTAGCTGGGACTATAGTATAGGTGCCTGCCACAACGCCTGGATATTTTTTTTTTTTTGCTGTTTTTGGCCGGGGCTGGTTTTGAACCCACCACCTCCAGCATATGGAGCCTGCGCCCTACCTCTTTGGCGCAGCCCCTGGATATTTTTTTGTTGCAGTTATCATTGTTATTTAGCCAGCCGGGGCCAGTTTGAACCCACCAGCCTCAGTTTATGTGTCTGGTGCCCTAACCACTGAGCTACCAGTGCTGAGCCATATTCTTTTCTAAATAGCTTTATTGAGATATAATTCACAGATAATACAATGTAGCCATTTAAGTACACAATTAAATGATTTTTAAAAAGTACATTCATAGGGTTATACAACCATTAATAATGATTTTTTATTCCTATGTAAGCAATATAAGTTTTTCTATAGATCTTTTAAATTGAGTTTGTTCATGGTATTATTCAAATATTTTATGGGCTGGGCATGGTGGCTCAGGCCTGTAATCCTAGCACTCTGGGAGGCCAAAGTGGGCAGATCACTTGAGCTTAGGAGTTTGAGACCAGCCTGAGCAAGAGTGAGACCCCATATCTACTAAAAATAGAAAAACTAGCTGGGTGTTATGGCAGGCATCATGGTGTATAACTGTAGCCCCAGCTACTCAGGAGGCTGAGGCCAGAAGATCACTTGAGCCCAGGAGTTTGAGGTTGCTGTGAGCTATGATGCCACACCCTCTACCCAGGGCACCTCAGACTCAAAAAAAAAAACAACCAACCCTGCTATATTTAGATTTTTATAATGGAGGAAGAAAGAGCACATATTACTTTTACAACCAAGAAAGAGTATCAAAAACAAAATAGATGGCAAGGAATTAGGAAAAGAATTACAATTTTGCCTTTTCAAAATCCATGATTACAAAAAAAAAAATCCCAGTGTCAATTTTTTTAGAGATAGGGTCTTACTCTGGCACCCAGGCTGGAGAATAGTGGCATGATTATAAGCTCACTATAGCCTCCAGCTTCTGGGCTCAAGTGATCCCCCCACCTCAGCTTCCAGAGTCACTAAGATTATAGGTGTGGACCACCACACCCACTTCTCATGCTCAACATTTTTTTTATGCTAACCACATAGGTACTTTCTATAGGAAAATTTGCTTCTTTTGACTTCTTTCTGCTTTTCAGTAAATGTTTGCTTCAATGAAAACTAATAAAAAGTACAATATATTTTAATTGTGATAACTATATTGCCAAGAAATTGCACTTACATTGGCTGGGAGATTGCTCTTTCGGGGTTTCTGTATCAAGATATGGACTTGAAGAAGTATAAAGAACTCCCTTATTGTTATTCTCCCATCTTTGAGTTTCTGAGAAAACAAAAAAAAATTGCATGACCATTCAAGGTGAGCTTACTTGGACTAGAACCATCTCGTTTGTTTCTAAATAGCTTAAAGTACTTTTTATACACTTATGTAAATATTATCCAGATATTTGCAGGCTATACATGAACAGATTTTATCTAAGATTACTTATTAAGGTTATTCAATAACAATATAATTAAAAATAAAACCCCCCAAACATAATCTTTCAGGTCCTTAATAAAGAAAACTAGTCTTCTGTATTTGAAATATTTCATTATTTATTTTTTTAAGCAACAGAGCCTCACTTTGTCACTATTGGTAGAGTGCCATGGCATCACAGCTCACAGCAAACTCCAGCTCTTGGGCTTAGGTGATTCTCTTGCCTCAGCCTCCCGAGTAGCTGGGACTACGGGCACCCATTGCAATGTCTGGCTATTTTCTTGTTGCAGTTTGGCTAGGGTCAGGTTTGAATCCACCACCCTCGGTATATGGGACTGGCACCCTGCTCACTGAGCCACAGGTGCCGCCTTGAAATGTTTCATAATTTTAAACATGTTTTTAAAAAACAAGAACAAGAAAATTAGTTGCATTACAAATAAGCAATATTTTTGACATACCTCCCTCAAGCTCTCTTCACAAATAGTGTCTCCAAGAAACTGTGATTCCATTTGACTATTTCGGTATGCTAGAAGTAAAGCAAATTCTGGTGATTAACAAGTCAAAATAAATTGTAAACTTTAAAAAAAATTTTGAGGCCGAGCGCTGTGGCTCATGCCTGTAATCCTAGTACTGGGGAGGCCGAGGCAGGCAGATTGTCTGAGCTCATAGGTTTGAGACCAGCCTGAGTCACAGCGAGAACTTGTCTTTAAAAAAAAATAGCCAGGCGTTCTGATGGGCACCTGTAGTCCCAGCAACTCGGAAGGCTGAAACATGAGAATCTCTTGAGCTTAAAAGTTTGAAG